TCTGAAAAATGTTACTCCATTCGTTCCATATTAGTTGTCGCTGATCTAGTGCTACAATTAATATGGAACGGAGGGAGTACCTTGAAGAGAAGGCACCCTGCAGTACTCTAATACTTCTCCCATCCAAAAATATGAAGTACATGCACGCATTCCTCAAGATTTATTACATGACACGAGCATCTATTGTAGCCGAGGCCATTAGACAGAGTCCTCTGCATCATGGATTAGGTCTCCATCTCTAACTCTACCTTATTTTCTTTTCTTGTGAGCCGTATGTGATGGGTTACCATCTTACTGTAGAGCCCCTAATTTTGAAGTACTTTTTTATATGTAGTAGAGTTTCCACGCAAAAATTTGGTATAGATTTTTGGATCTATTTTAGCTTATTACTTGTTGAATTCTAACATGGCATAGATTTTGTGTTACATACTAACTCTTAAACTAGTGGCTGACCAAGGTAGGTTTTGAAAAATATGCACACTTTATACTATTATTTTAGATGTAGGGAATAAAGAAAAACTATGGGCCTCCAAGAAACACAGATGCCACAAAAAGGAGGAGATAAATTTTGATGTCTGTTGTATTTGACTATGTGGGCCAAGTGTTGTGCTCCATCAATAGATAATATGGGCCAGGTGGTCTGGTCCATCATTTACCTATCTGTCTTCGTGCCCTGGAGTAGAACAAATTTTATCCATATACAAGGAAATTCAGATTTTTCGTGCCTTCTTCTATTGGATGGCACAAATATTACATTGCATGGGTTCTATGTTTTAAAGGAGATGATCGGGGAGATATCAGGTGATATCGGGCATTAGGTGATACGGGCTCCTGGGAGCATTGGATCTCAGATTTGACAGCTCCAAGGAGCTCTTGAACATTTTGCAAAAAAGTTATTCAAGAATCTCAAAATTTTGTATCATCTAAGTGCTGGTAGCACCTGATATATTCCCGGAGATGATCGACTGTCTACTGGAGAGAAAGAATCGCAGATTGTTGTATGTATTTGACGCAAAACTAGTTATTCCTTTTAGGAGTAATTAGACGACTTCAAAGAGTCTGTGGGGGCATCAAGGTTGCATATAGCTAAATCATTAGAAAGAGAGAATCACATGGTAAACATTGCCAAGCACAACGAGCATTGGCACGTAATGGTTTTAGTTCAAATTTGAACCAACAAAACATGTTCTTCCCTTAGAAAAAAAACATGCTCTTTGTTATTTTTCTTAGACAACACAAACGATGGCATGAACTAGCTAGATGGTCATCTTGATCCGTTTTTCATAGATCACTTCGGCTTTAGTACATCTACAACGAAGGCGCTAATTAAGGCCTAGCGCTAGGATCATGATCCTGGCCATTTTCCTTGATTCCTGTCCAATTCAAGGAACTAGGTTTGCGTCGATGTCTCATGAGTCGCCGGGCACTAGCCATTTTTTTAGACTCTGATAAGTGTTACATGTGTGGCACAAACGCATGGCAACTCCGAACGTTTTTTATGACAAGTTTAGTGCCATGAGGGTGGCAACTTCTTTTAGGATGACAAGTTTCAGTTTTTTTGGGGTTTATTTTTTCTTTTTGAATGGCAACTTTAGTTGTAAAAAACGTCAAGGTCAGAGTGCTTTGTGCCCACGTGTGGCACTTATCATTTGTTTTTTTATGTGAGTAGGCCTCTTACATGGCATTGAAGTGTTCGAAACAAGGACTCTATATCAGGTGCTAGAAATAAAATTCTTTTTTTTTATTACTGATGATGATGAAGCATCTAATCAGGCGCCTTGCGTTGAAGATGCCCTTGCCGGTTATCTTACTTATTTTTTTACATTTTTGGTATGAAGGAGATGGAACTGGCCAATGATACTTCCCTCTTGAAGCAAATGGCATGCATTAGATGGTTAAAATGTCACACTCGTAATTCTAAAATATGAGTAGAAAAATGTCACAATCGTGAAAATTCAAGAGGGTGGTGACGGTCAAGACGTGAACGGATACCAACAACGCAACAAACATAACGAATGAACAAATTGTATACTAGTACTATATATCAATCACTCCAAATTTATGTTTCCGCGACAACTTAGTCAAGGTGTAAGCACCACAAAACTAGAAAAGGGTATAGAATCGTAAACTATAAAATGTAGGCCCTCCACCACCGCCCCATCCGAACAGAAAGTGTCCAACAATATGGTATATCAGTTTTAGTAACATCTTATGGGACAGAGGGAGTAATAAGAGAAGATCAAGACATTGTCCCACTCTTAATCCATTAATACACAATGTGTTATTTATTTACCTCACAAGATTTGACCCTTTGTGCACGAATGGTTCACAACTAGTTCGTAATACAACATATCCGTATGAAAATTCAAGGTTGAACCGGTTTTGTCTTCTTAGGGCATGTTCAATGGAGAGGCGCTTCTTTGGACGCTTAGAAAGTAAAAATAACAGATTTGCTATTTCACATCTAGATGTGAAATAGCTATCTCACATCTAAGTCCAAAGCTATTGGATATTGTCCTGTCCTTAAGATTCGCGCACACACTTTTTTCTGTCTCGACTTCGTGTTGCCCGTTTCTTTGTGCGAGCCTGATTCGCATCGATGCATGTGTGTGCGTGGTTGTTTGTTTTTCCTCGGTCCATTGTGTTCCCACGGCCGGGCTTTTTTCTTTTTCTTGTTGGCCTGTTATGCCCGCACAAGGCTTCGGCCTGTTATACGCATGTCCTTTTGCCGGGCATTAATAGGAAGGCACAGTGATTTCATCCTTTCGTGATTAAATGTGTTGTTTTTCTTGTCTCAAAAAAGTGTGTTGTTTTTCATGCTAGGGTGCAGGGTAGAAATGCACGAGTTGGTTCTGCTGTTTATTTTTACTTTTCCTTTTTTGTTTATTTGTGTTAACTTTATGAACTTTTTAAAATTTAAATGTTTATAAATTCATGATTTTTAAAAAGAATTGTGATAATTTTGTTTCTAATATTAATTTTTGGTTGCTTTTCTTGACATTTGTTATTATGTTCTTTCTCGATTACCATCGGTTTTCTTTATTTTTTATCTCTTTCTTGGGTTTTCCTACTTTAATTTTGGCATTGTTTACCTTTTGCATTTTTTTTTGTTTGAATTGTTTCATTGTTGACTTTCATGGTTTTTTTCTTAGTCTTCATTGTCTTCATTTTTTTTCATAGGCTTTGGGTTTTCTTTTTCTTTTTTCTGTTTTGGTAGTTTCTGCATTTTTCTTTGTTTCTTTGTCGGTTTTAATCGGTTTTTTAGCACATGTCAATTTATTTCAATATACACTCAACATTGTTGAATGCTTCAGAAACATATTTATATACATTTTAAACATTTTTTACATACATGATTAGCATTTTTTGTCTTTCTTTATTTATTTGTTTCAAGTTCATGAACTTTTTTTCAACACATTTAGCAATGTCTCATCTAAGTCTTTAATCACTCAACCTGTTTGCTTTTAAAATGTTTGTTTAAATCTCGGTCATGGATTATTTTGTCATGCGTGTCCTATACTTCCATG